CCCCAAAGCCCCAAAACCCCAAAACCCCAAAACCCCAAAACCCCAAAACCCCAAAACCCCGTCATATTATCTGTAGGTTGGAATTTGGGTTAAATAAATTGCGTAAAAACTATAGGTGGAATGTTACAAAGAGTATTGCCATATCTATAGGTAACCTTAGCTCTGGAATAGTTATCAAAGATATACTAAGCAATATATGAAGAGGGCAAAGATTCCTATAGAGAAACAGGCCCTTCTTTCACCTGTTTTTAAGCTTATGTAAGTTAGAATCTCATCGTAAAAAGTATGCTATTATCTTTTTCCCCTAATTTCTTCTGAGTGCTAAAGGAAACTTTGTTATTACAACTGGAGATCATTGATATTTGATCTTAAGGTTTGTAACACTCTAGGAAAATCGATTTTATTCGATTGGCATTTCACCCATAACTGTCAATGAGATTATAATTCCCAAAACATGAAGGTTGGCTTAGAGAACCACTCTTTTCACACATAGTGTGTGATGCCGTTAATTCATCGATGACTCTTGTGAGCTTATAATTTTTGGAAGCAAAGAATATTTAGAGAATAGTGATGAAATTGGGTTAAATTTTGTTCTATCTTTTAATGGCTAGTTACACACAATGGCATCACTAGCCTGAAGCAAAGTGCTTGGGTAGCTACTTCTAGACCTGCTCTAGCCTATTTATTCTTGATTAAAAGTTCTGCTATAAGTTTAAAAGTAGCTTCGTCAGGTTTAAAGACTCCTCTTAATAATTTTATCTTCTATCTTCGACAGTTATGAAACCTAGTTTTCTTTTCAAAGATGTAAATTATGAGAGAAACATCAGGTTTTATTGAAGTTTAGGAGAAATTAAAGTGATTTTCTGCCAGGCATCTGCTACGACAAAGTGCGGCTTATTTGTCAGGATGGCACTTCCTCATGTGTGTCTATATGCATGGTTATTATAGCTGTCCAGGATGAAGTATCGATTTAGATTAAAACAGTTTTGAATTAATAAATGGAATCTGGGAATATAATGGTGAACGAAGACTCTCCTAACTCATAAGGGGTTCCAAGAGAGGTCTTTAAAGAAAGGATACGGTTCTAATAAGATTCTTAAAGGCTAATAACTAGTTCAGAAGAATCTCGGTGATATAAACTGCAACAATGTGGTTTATAGGGACTTCATATATGATCAGAAATCCAGAGATTTTGAAATAAATAAATTTATATTTATGTAAACCATAATGATCAATGTTTAGCAAATTTAGTTCTTTTATTCATAATAAAGCTTGCATTTAATTCCCTGCTCGAGAATGCAGGCGGCTCCTGAACATTGAGCAACTTCAAATATCGAATAGAATTTTTCAAACTATTTGAAATAATTCAACTTGGAATTTCATCTTCAGCATGCTTCATAGAAACCAGCCTGATGATCTCTAAAATTAGAGCGAGGGCTCTCGCTGTTTCAGAGAGTCGTTTCCAGGGTTTGGGAAATCTTATTATTTGGGAAACAAGAGTAACTAATATTTTTATGAAAGGTTTATATCACAATAAAGTATCGAAAACTAGTTATTTCACCTGTTTTTTGAAAAATAAACATGAAAAGGTGACTCGATGCTGATCATAGTTTTTACCTTTAGGTTATATCTCTCTGTGTATCCTTTCTCACAGTACCTGCAGTTGTACCTCTTGCGGTCGTTGACATCTGGCCTGATATGCTGTCTGACATGCTTCTTTAAGTTGCCCTTCTGAGTGAAGGCCTTACCACACCATTGACACACATAGGGTTTGACGCCTGCATGCATCCTGACATGGTCTAGGAGGCTCCAGGGTTTCTGCAGAACTTTTCCACATCCAGGTGCTCCACATTGATAAAGAGGCACTTCGCGCTGCTTCTTGGCATCGAAGTATGAAAGAGTTTGGTATCTGTAGCCTTTAAGAAGTTCAAAGTAGATCTCTTCTTTTGTCATCGACTGCAAGTCCAAGTTTCAATTTTCAAGTTCTGGGTCAAACAAGGGGATGGAAGGATCAGCCATCATGTTTACATCCTGGTGAAAATTATGCTCGTAAGCAGCAAGGTTAGTGGATTCATAAGTAGCAGGAACATCTCACAAACAATAGGTCGTAGCCAAAATCTCGTAACTGGCTGATGAGAAATAAGGGGGTTCAGGTTCTTGGAATCCTGTGAAGTCAGAACCGAACTTTGGTTGATTTTGGTCTAGAGCAAGTTATTATACCAAGTCTTAACCACTACAAAAGAAACAAACTTTGCTTAATAACTACAAGAGAGATCTACACCAACATGGTTGGGGTCATCAGCAAACTTAAATGGTGAATTGATAATAATCTTTGATGAAAAATAGCTTCTTAAATTTTATGGTTATATTACCTATCCAAGTAGTTATAAAAACTTCGCAATTTGACAAGCGAGGGCTATAACTTAGAAATCACTAGTTATGAGCAAGCCAGATGTAAAAATTTACTAGAGACTTGTACATTTAGAATTAGTAAGTTTTTAATATAAAGTTCAAACTCTGACAGTTATTGGCCAGAAAATTCTGAACCTGTCGTTATTAGCAATGAAGCCCTAATACTTTTGGGAACTTGCTCAATGAAAACTAATGAAGATGTTATACTTGTTGGCTTCATTATAAAGAATGGCTCGAAGCTCTGGTTGAACTTGACAATTTTTGTATGTGGGAGTTGATTTTACTCGATTTTAGCCCTCTGCTTCAAAATTTCCTGAATGTATAAAAATTTATGAACACGAAATTAAAAGGCTATTTTTCTGCTTGCATGTAATAGATTGTTAAAAGAAAAAATCTAGAGGATATTAGATCAATGATAAACGTTATTTAAAGACCTGACTACTATTCAAAATTTTAAGTAAAAAATCTAACTTAAAAACTACAAATTTCTCAACAATCCCTATCTCCCAACCTACAATACCCAAACAGGCCCCAAAGATACCCCTAATCCCTCTCTTTCCCCCAAAACCCCACCCCTCAAACCCCCCTATACCCACCCTACTCCAAACCAGCCTTAAAAATTCCACTAAACTTCACCCCTTTCTCTCCTTGCTCCTCTATCTTACCTCAAACTGTTCCTCTAAGTTGATAAATGTATTCCATTCTAAGCGTGATGGCTAAGTTAATAATTATCTAATTTGTTCAACATAATTAGGTTTCCAAGGGGTTTTGGGGTTTTGGGGTTTTGGGGTTTTGGGG